ATCTCGTCCTATCGCGAACATGACAACTTTATCTTGATTTTGCTTCTCTACTTGCTTTCCAATGTACACGACGATACTTAACGGAATGGTATCGTTTAACGAGACGTTCTCGTAAATTTTCGTTCCCTTAATTTCTATTCTATTATTTGGGCCAGATAATGAAACGACGGTTTCTTTGAAATACGAATAATATACGAGGGACCAATTGTTGCGATTCGTATTCGCGCTGAAGATACACGCGATTCAAGGTACCGTGTTTTTTCTTCGTTTTAGAACAGAAATATATTTGTATTAAAGACGATCGATGTTTTTGTATCGAACCGGTATTTAGCTAATACACATTGTACTTTAACTTTTAGATATTTTTGTACTTGGTATTCACACATGACGTGATACTAAACATTTTATACACGCACACTTAGTAATTAAGGATTTCACTTGCATTTTTATCAAGTATACGTAGTAGGTATATTTATTATGGCGTACACGTAGGCGTACATAATGTTACGATTTATTTATTATATCACGTTACCATTGCATATAATTATTTATTGTCATTTCTATACTTATGTAATCGTCTTGAATAAATTCGATGTTTTTGTATTGAACACTGATTCGCCTTTTATATTTCCTCAATTTATCTATAAACGATACCAATTCTTTTAAACATTCTTCAATCGCGTTAATTGTAAAATTTTTTTGTTTATGTGCAACATCGGAAGTTAATAAATTGTATCAGGCTTTTATAAAACGCGCATTCATCCTTAATCAGTTGACGATCGTTATTGATACTGTCCAGGGAATAAAGATATATTACATGATAATATTCGAGTAATTGCAATCGCGTAGATTAGCAATAAAATATTTATTAACAAATAATAAAATAAAAATTATGAAACAATAGATTTATTGGTGGATTATAATTATTTCGAATAATGTGAAAAAGACCAGAGTTCGTTTGAATAAAAGATGAATCGAGTAATCGAAAAATTAAACAATTTGTTTATAAATACCGAACGTATAGATTTAATACGGATCGTTTAAACGGTACAATCAATATTGATTAAATTAATAATTATTTTGATTTTACTTTTACAAAGATTGTAATTATTATTATTATTATTATTATTATTACAATAAAACAGACAATTTATAGATTGAAATATAACGTAATAATTTTCAATGTATCGTTTGTTATTTATAATATTAATTTTCGATAACGTAGAATATAATTGATAATTATTATTAATCGAAACTTTTCATCATTGTATTTAATTTTATGTAGAGCTGTTCGAGGGTCTTTTATCGAAAAATATCCCAAACGGATCTAGTATCAGGCGTACACGAACGATAGGAAAGTTGTAATCTATATTCATTACTATTTCCGCACTCGTAAATGTTTGTACGTAACGATGCGCCAACGCAACACTTTTTCATTGTATCGTTATAATATTTTTGTTAACATCAAATATAAAAACATTCCTTATTTACAATATAGTAGTATATCACTACCAACTTGATAAAATCGATAAAATTAAACACGAGCAATGTTATATTACATACGATATGATAACGTTTGTAATTGTTCGATTAGACAGGAAGTACAAAGTCATTCGTATTTATCATTTTAATTATAATTCTAATTTTAATCCTGTTATATAATTGTATCTTAATTTTGGTACTACCGTAATTATTGTGGTAACGCGACGTTAAAAAGGGATCGTGTGTAAATGAATCCATCGTTTGTTTCCTTTGGATCTTGATGTGCGCGATTATACCCGGAATATCCAATGGCGTTAATTTAATCTCGTGTGAGAAGATCCAATTTTAGTTCGATAAATCTGCCGACAGTCTAATTATAGCATCACCATATATGGTAGATATCTAACATACTACTATGAACCATGTGTCAAGCGTTGATACAGAATGCGTACGCTGTGAGTAGACTTCATTCACCACTTTTTACGTACATATTCGACTTCGTTCGATGCAAAAGTATTGACATCTTTGACGTCAATTTTTCCTATCGCTTTCTTACGTATTCATATCATCCTTTCGTTCCTCTCTCATATCTTGCAAATACATATATGGTTTAAGCTTTATTTTCTTACAAAATCTAACTTCCAATTTAATTAACGTTTAATTTTTTCACGAGAAATTTTGTTTTTACACAACGTTGAAACGATTCAATTTTATTCAAAGTATGACGAAGGATATTATTATTTTAATGTGAATGATAAATCGTACTTCGTGTTATGAATTATGAAAGGACTATTATTTTATAACCGGCAAAGTTAATAATCACGCTTGTAATTCAGTCTTATATCTCATGCTACTTCGCGATGCGGTCTTTGATTTAAATTATAACACCAACACTAATATTTTTTATGAATAGTTTTCTAAAAAATTGCTACGAAATCCAATGGATTCGCGAATATGCGCGATGACAGATTATGATCGCCGATTTTTCGAAGAAAATCCAGAGATCTATAAACGCGAGAAAGTGCGAAATTGTCTGAAATCAATAAATATTACTTAAAAGAATTATAATAAACGCATCATATATATGTAAATTTAGAAAAAAATACAATATTATCTTGTTCTCTTATTGAAAAATCGAAAGGTCGCTAAAGATTAAGAAGGTTAGGAATAGGCGCGATAATAAATCATGATCGTCGATTTTTCTAAAAAAATCCAGAGATCTATAAACGCGAGAAAGTGCGAAATTGTCTGAAATCAATAGATATTACTTAAAAGAATTATAATAAACGCATCATATATATGTAAATTTAGAAAAAAAAATACAATATTATCTTGTTCTCTTATTGAAAAATCGAAAGGTCGCTAAAGATTAGAAAGGTTAGGAATAGGAAGGCGCGATAATAAATTATGATCGTCGATTTTTCTAAAAAAATCCAGAGATCTATAAACGCGAGAAAATGCGAAATTGTCTGAAATCAATAGATATTACTTAAAAGAATTATAATAAACGCATCATATATATGTAAATTTAGAAAAAAATACAATATTATCTTGTTCTCTTATTGAAAAATCGAAAGGTCGCTAAAGATTAGAAAGGTTACTATGTGATTAAAAAAATATATAGATATAAGATAAAATATTTCATAAAACGAATTATAATTAAATAATAATTAAGGAATAAATAGGAAAAATAAATAAAATTTCGCGAGATAATTCGTTATAACTGAGAAACGAAACTTTGTAATGATGTTAAGCATTAAGATTGATACATTTAATCAATTACATCATCGCACCGTTTCGATTACAAAATTCGGTGAATACCCGCAATATTACTACACTAAACATTATTACCAACTATAAAAAATTATTCGAGAATAAATTGTTTCATGAGATTATGTGAATCTCACATTTTATTTTTGAAAAAAAAAAATCGTTTCGAAGAAGAAGACTCGGATGTGATTCCACGAGTTTGTCAAAACGGCTAAAAAGTTCGACAAAATATAAGCCGTCATCCCACCGTCGTCCAACGTGCGTAGGTACGCTTGATTGTTTACACAATCTAGTATATAAGAAGAGTTTGAGAGTTTGACAATCTCAGTTCACGATCTCACGCCAATCGGTAACATCACTTTAACGAAATTGTTCCTTTTGGTCAATTAATTATAATTTCTAATCTAATTCAGTGAGTTCGTATCGTAACTTGTAAGAAAAGTTTCTAAAAGTCTAATCTAAATTTCTACAAATTTCAATCGCAAAGATGTTCGCTTCGCGTAGTTATCTGTTGATCTCGATACTCGCTGTTGCATCTGGTGCACCTAAAACACGATTCACCAAATCGAGCACACCAACTTGGTATTTGCCATGTGGCGAGAATCTAGAAATCGATATGAACAGCGAAGAAGAAGCTAACGCGAATATAGACGTAAAACCTTATATACAGAAGATTCAGATTCAGCATAAATTGACTCTGAACGAATATTTACGTCAAGACTACGAGTACTTGTATGAAAAGGTACGAATCGGTGTTAACGAACATCAATATATTCCGAACTGGGTTCCTGGCAAGAAAGACGTGAACGCAATCAGAAGGATCAAGCCCATCTTAAACTCACAAACGGTGAGTGTTCTTCGTTCATCATACGTATATAGAAAATTAATTCCATTCAGATTTTCGTCTACGTTTGAATCCTTGATCCTTAAATGATTGATGCCGACTCGATAAATCAACCTATTCTATTATATATTAAAAACAGTTTCTTTCTATTTATAAAAGAAAAAAATGTTAAGAAAATTGATGGTAAAATAAATTTTTTTTCTCGAAAATTAATTTAAACGACTTTAACGATTCGGTATTATAAAGGATTAAAGCAAGAAGATCAATCACGTTTCTCGAAAATATTACAAATTCTAAAAATTATAAACTGGTGAAACAATCGGATAAAAAATTTGAAAAGTTTCCCCAATTCGAAATAAAGAAATGTATATCCTATTGATCGATATATATCGAATCATCTCCTTTTTCAAAGGATCATTCGATTAATAATTAATTTGCATCGCGCGTTAATTAAGATCCTCGTTTAAACGGTTAATTTAACGGCGTTTAAGCTTACATAAATATTCATGGAGCGTGGAAAGCGGGATAAACGGAAAGAAGGGAGGCGCGATGGACTCGCGGGAACAGGTGAGAGAGAAGGTGGTCGCGCGTATTTTCACCGGCACGGCCAATTGACCGAGCACATCCCGATGTTGCAATTAATTAACGCAACGTTAAATAACAAATTTTAATGAGACGGTAATTATTATAAAGTAGCAGGGAAACAGAAGCATGCGCGACTGTTCGGCTGTTTGCGCGCGCAATGCAAGTTCGCGGGTGTACACGGTTGCTCATGTTAGCCGGGTCGGGCGGCTGCGTAATCAAGCTTGTTTTCAGCTACGATGCGTGCACACTGATAACGCATCCGTGATAACGTACAACTCTCAGATGTTTACCGCAATTCTCTTATTTTTTTTTTTTTTTCCTTATACCGGCACGTTTCACCAATCGATTATTTTCA